ACACCCTGCGCGGCTACTACAACCAGAGCGCGGACGGTGAGTGACCGGGGCCTGGCGGAGGTCGAGACCCCTCACGCCCCTCACGGACGGCCCCGAGTCGTCTGGGGTCCCCGGCCGAGCTTCACCCCAAGCTGAGGAACCCGCGGGGACCCCGACCCAGACAGCGCCCGGGGACTGCGACGGTTTCGGTTTCATTTAGGGAGAACCCGGGGCGGGCGGGGCGGGGACAGGCTCTCACACCTACCAGACCATGTACGGCTGCGACCTGGGGACCCACCGGCGCCTCCTCCGCGGGTACGTGCAGTTCGCCTACGACGCCGGGGACTACATCGCCCTGAACGACGACCTGCGCTCCTGGACCGCGGCCGACACGGCGGCTCAGATCACCAAGAGGAAGTGGGAGGAGGGCGGTGAGGCGGAGCGCTACAGGGCCTACCTGGAGGGTCGCTGTGTGGAGTCCCTCACCAGATACCTGGAGAACGGGAAGGAGACGCTGCTGCGCACAGGTGTGAGGGGCTTCACCTGCCTGATCCCCTGGAGGTCCCTCCTCCAGCTCCCCACAGGAGGGAGGAGAATGGCGCCCACACTAGACACCACCTGCTCCTTGTCCAGGGGGGAGGAGTGGGCCTGGACCCCCAGGGGCTGCCCTAGAGAGGAACTGAGGCCACTGTCTCTCAGGACGAGTGAGGGATCCCATCTCTCTCCCTGGCGGCAGACAAGGAATACCTGACCACAGGTCCCTGTCAGCAGCCTTGGCATCAGGGACAGACTGTCAGGTCCACTCCAGCCTAGTGTCCTGGGAGGTCTGACTCCAGCTTTTCCACATGTCTCAGCCTCTACCCAAATCAGAATCCGAAGTCCATCGTAGGGACCTGAAGCCTCCTCCATTGGGATATCTCAATCTGATTCTAGAACTTTCCAAGGAATAGATTATGCCAAAATAATCAGTTCCTGCTTGTGTCTAGGTTTTGTGCTCCTCCCCACCCCAATTATGTTGTCCACTATCAGGATGGTCATGTGAGCACTGCTTCAGTGGTCCATGAGGAAATGCCAAAATGTCTGAATTCACGTGTTCTTTCGGTCAGACCCCCCAAAGACGCATGTGACTCACCACCCTAGGCCTGAAGGGGATGTCACTCTGAGATGCTGGGCCCTGGGCTTCTACCCTAAGGAGATCACCCTAACTTGGCAACGAGATGAGGACGACCAGACCCAGGACATGGAACTTGTGGAGACCAGGCCTACAGGGGATGGAAACTTCCAGAAATGGGCAGCTGTGGTGGTGCCTGCTGGAGAGGAGCAGAGATACACCTGCCATGTGCATCATAAGGGGCTGCCTGAGCCCCTCACCCTGAGATGGGGTAAGGAGGGGATGAGGGCACAGAACCTGTTGTCAGGAAACCAGGAGGCTTTCTGGAGACCCTCAGCAGGGTAGGGACTGAAAGCTGCGGATCAGGGCCCCTCACCTGACTTCCCTTTCTCTGCCAGAGCCACCCCCTCAGGCCACCAGCCCCATGGTGGGAATTGTTGCTGCAGTAGTTCTCCTTGGAGCTGTTGTCATTGGAGCTGTGATCTATTTTGTCATGTGCAAGAAGAAAAACACAGGTAGGGAAAGTGCAGGGTCTGAATTTTTGACCCACTGATGGTTTCAAGTACCTGGTAGAAGTGTGCCCTGCCCTGTTAATGGGAAGTAAAATCTACATGTGTCCTTACCCA